CAACAACAACAACAACAACAACAATAACAATGGCACTCGCCGCATCAATTATAGCTATCATCCCATCATCGACTTCTTCGAGAAGAACAGGCGCACAGATGGGGCAGMTGTGAGCTCGCTCGACGATCAGGAGCCCGACTACGCTGTGGAGGAGTCGCGGCTGGTGGAGCAACGTTATCCATCTAGAGTAAAGGCAATTGCGGCCACGCTGCCGACTGCTGTTAATCTGGGCGTGGGCATGGGCGTGGCCTATCAACATGTGGTGCCCACATCGCACGAGCGTAGAATGGGCTTTGGTGCCGGTGGTGCGGTTGGCGGTGCTGTTGGTGGTGCTGGACGCTATGGCTATGCCAACGACAATGCCTGGCAGCCGCTGGTTGTGGATCATTAAACTTAAGACGCATGCAACTCCCTTAGCTTAAACCTCTATACTCCCATGGCTAACATAGATAGCTTRTTGTATTAATCGCATCGAATCGAGACTCATCTGGCTTAGCTTGTAGTTGTGCCTCCTATACTTGCCTAGTTACTGCAACTGAATGACGTAATTGCCTAATCTTACCTAACTCTATGTCTAACAGCATCCAATTAATTAATTAATTAATTATTCAATAATTATTTATTTATTTATTTCGTAGCAAGTAGCGATGTTTTCGAAAACAAACAGCTGAGTTTTAGCAATAAAATAATTTATTAAAATAAAAACAAAAATCAAATTCAAATATTAAAGTATTAATTTATTTTTACAAATATTTTACAGACGCTGCATAGTATTATGTTCAGCAAACGCAATTTTTTAACAGCAAATGCATTATTTAGCTTTATATTAATTTAATTATTAATACTTTAATAAAATATTTTAAAGATTTTTCAAAGTTGGTMTTCAACAACAACAAAATCATTCAAGCTGCAAACGCTCTACTTCGTTTCATTTCCAACGTTTCGTTTGACGCTCTCGGCATAGCAGTCAGCTTTTGAGAGTTAGCATTGAAGCGCGCTTTTTAAATGGCCAGCGAAATGAGAGCTTTAAATGCAAATGTATTCATTGAAAACAAAGGTAAATAACTAAATTAACAATATGTAAATTAATTAAGCTTACTTTCACTATAGCCACACCATTCTATATATACAAATATACATTTATTTATTTGTATATATGTGTAAAGCT